TCTTTAAAGTTTGTCTCAAAGTAGAAGTCAGTTGATAAATAAATAGCTGCTATGAAACTAAAGAGAGATGTTTGTTGAAATACTTTTTATTGTGCTCAATATTTTCCATCGTAGAAACTTTTATTTAGTCAGTAGTAATTTTGTCTCCACCTGCTGTGGCCACAATCAGTCAGTCAATGGGCCAAAAATGGCCCCCAGCCCACATATTGGACACCCTTACTGTAGGCCATAATGTATCCTTTATAAAACATTTATGCATTTTAATTGATCTCATGTAATTCAATCATTTTTGAGTCGTACTTGTGTGTAAATCTTTGATAAATACAAACTTTAAACCTGTTTGTTGGATGATCAGGGAAAAGTTTGGTTCATATAAATCATTAAAGGTCCAGGATAAACAGGAACTTTCTGCCAGCGATGAGGGAATGTAAACTTGTCAGGCATTCGGTTCTGGCCGCATCTAAGCAGCAGCCGCTCATTTCGTTACCACAACATTCTGGTTCTGCTGCTGCCTTCCAATAAAAACCCATCAGAGTAGAACGTTATTAACGAGGACAAGTAAATTACCCGACAGACCAAAACAGAAACTCTGGGCCCTCAGGGAGCCGTTTCCTCAATGAGAGAGCCGACATGAATCAGCTCGTCCTCTCCTGACTGGAGGAGCTGAAGCTCATCATCATCATCGGTCACGTCTTCAAAGGGACGTCTTCCCTTTAATCAGGCCTTCTCGCTGCAACAGATTACCGCCTCCACTGCTTCCCAGAGAAACTGGGACTGTTTTCCAGACCAGCAGCTCCAGATCAACCTGCTGGTTGTGGTCTGGTCCTGGTTTTACCTCCGTTGCTCCAAATGGATCCGGGTTTGTTATGAACACCTGCCGTCAGCCATCAAAGCGAGCAGAAACCCCCGGCGTGTGATCCTGCAGCCGCTCAAAGGAAACCGCAGACCACCCCCAAGACCTCCCCCCAGACCTCCCCCCTCCTCCCCCCGCAGCAGACCGGCTCTGCTCACCTGTCAGACCAAAAGCATTCCTAGAACCAGCCTCCAGCCTCCCAGTCCGCTCCAACTGGGATTCAGGGAAACAACTGGTTAATAATCTGAACTGAGCACCAGCATCCTTCATGTTTTAGATGTTTCATCGCCCCTGATCACCTGTTTATCAGCTGCTGAACCAAACCAGCGGTTTTGTCCTCTGGGTTTTCTCGTTCTGATCCACCTGAATGTAACGAATAGTTCTGTACCGGACCTCTCCGGACCCGATGCAGAACTCAGGGACATGTCGAAAGCATGAAGGACAAATACCATGTTAATGTAGCACATTAGCATTAGCCTCTGCTACATACCATGTTAATATAGTGCTTTAGCATTAGCCTCATTAGCTAAGTATCATGTTATTTAGCTAAAGCTATATTAATGCTAAAGCATTTATATTGTACTTTAGCATTGGCCTGTAGCTAAATACCATGTTATTGTAGCATATTAGCATTAGCCTCTGCTACATACCATGTTAATATAGTGCTTTAGCATTAGCCTCATTAGCTAAGTATCATGTTATTTAGCTAAAGCTATATTAATGCTAAAGCATTTATATTGTACTTTAGCATTGGCCTGTAGCTAAATACCATGTTATTGTAGCATATTAGCATTAGCCTCCACTAAAAACCATGTCAATGTAGGACTTTAGCGTTAGCCTCTGCTAAATACCATGTCAATGTAGGACTTTAGCATTAGCCTCTGCTAAATACCATGTCAATGTAGGACTTTAGCGTTAGCCTCTGCTAAATACCATGTCAATGTAGGACTTTAGCGTTAGCCTCTGCTAAATACCATGTCAATGTAGGACTTTAGCGTTAGCCTCTGCTAAATACCATGTCAATGTAGGACTTTAGCGTTAGCCTCTGCTAAATACTATGTTATTGTAGCAATGTGCTAGATCTGGTCACTGTGGCAACCGCTGGGCTGAAGGGAACCAGTTCAAGACGCCAGTTTGAACTGGACAGAGAAGTTCTGACCCGGTCAACCCCAAGTCACCTGAGAGGAGACACACCTGTCTGAGGGGGGCAGGAGGGTAAGAGGGGCAGGAGGGTAAGGGGGGCAGGAGGGTAAGGCAGGAGGGTAAGGGGGGCAGGAGGGTAAGGGGGGCAGGAGGGTAAGGGGGGCAGGAGGGTAAGAGGGGCAGGAGGGTAAGGGGGGCAGGAGGGTAAGGGGGGCAGGAGGATAAGAGGGGCAGGAGGGTAAGAGGGGCAGGAGGGTAAGAGAGGCAGGAGGGTAAGGGGGGCAGGAGGGTAAGGGGGGCAGGAGGGTAAGAGGGGCAGGAGGGTAAGAGGGGCAGGAGGGTAAGAGGGGCAGGAGGGTAAGAGAGGCAGGAGGGTAAGGGGGGCAGGAGGTAAGAGGGGCAGGAGGGTAAGGGGGGCAGGAGGGTAAGGGGGGCAGGAGGATAAGAGGGGCAAGAGGGTAAAAGGGGCAGGAGGGTAAGAGGGGCAGGAGGGTAAGAGGGGCAGGAGGGTAAGGGGGGCAGGAGGGTAAGGGGGGCAGGAGGGTAAGGGGGGCAGGAGGGTAAGAGGGGCAGGAGGGTAAGGGGGGCAGGAGGATAAGAGGGGCAGGAGGGTAAGGGGGGCAGGAGGGTAAGAGGGGCAGGAGGGTAAGGGGGGCAGGAGGGTAAGAGGGGCAGGAGGGTAAGAGGGGCAGGAGGGTAAGAGGGGCAGGAGGGTAAGAGGGGCAGGAGGGTAAGAGGGGCAGGAGGGTAAAAGGGGCAGGAGGGGCATCAGGGAGACAAAGAGGAAGACATCAGGACTCTCAGATTCTCAGCTCAGATTCAGTTACAGAAAAAAAGAAACAAAAAGCTGAAAATCTGAGGGCTGAAGAGAAAAGCTTTGTGAACCGGTTCCAAAGAGCCGCAGGTCCGAACAGAACCTGACCGATTCCCGCTGGGATCCAGTTACCACTAAAATCCCCACGACCCAGAGCCACACAGAACCAGAACCAGTTTTCCTCCGTGGAAACGTTTCCTCTGGAAAACAAGGAGAAGGAATCCACCTGCTGGCCGAGCTGGGAATCGCTCCGACCCAGACGGAGAACCATCAGAACCATCAGAACCATCAGAACCATCAGAACCATCAGAACCATCAGAACCATGGACACTTCTGGGCCTTCACTGCAGTTTAGTTTTATTCATCTGGGACTTTTTGTCTAATTCAGTGAGTTAAGTTAAATATTTAGTTTTTATTGGTTACAGCAGTTTTAGTTTTTTTCATATTTGATTAATTTTTAGGTTCAGATACTTTCTTAAAATATGGATCAGTTATTGTTCACTATTGTGATAAACTATAATATTGCTGTTATTTCCAGTATTACTATGGTAATTATGGCACAATAATGCTAGAACATTCTCAAATTAATAAACTTTAGATTTTAATGAATATTTGACACTGAAAAACATTTTAAATATGCAAAACAAACAAAACAGAAACGAGTCATAAAGTCTGTAAACATTATCCTTAAAAAGCGAAACCAGTTGAGACCAAAACACCAGTATGGAAACTTTTATCACCCAGTTTTTGGTAGAAAGAGAGAAATTAGATGCAAATTGAACTTATTGGGTTGATTTATTGATTATTCTGACAGGCCTCATCAGTTCTGGCTGCACTGGGAGGAACGTCCCAAAGAAAGACGAGACGAAGAACGAAGGTGTTAAAGGTCACGGGGTCAGCAGTTGTGAGCTGGAGGTCAATCTGGTTAGACACATTTTGCTGACGGTTTCCCAGAATCCTCCTGTCCTCAGAAACATCCAGCAGTTTTTCACCTGTGAACTCGGGACGGTTCTGTCAGCGAACAGATTCTTGGTTCTGACTGGGTTTTCCAGACGTCGAGTCCGGAGCAGCAGAACCTGAAGCTGAACTCTGCCTTAGAGGAAGCTGCGTCGATCCGAACGGTGTCAGATGTTACGTCTGAACTGGGTCGGCTCTTCTTAAAATACTCGCCGCTCCTCAGAGAAATGATCCAGAACATCTCGGATCTACAGCCAGGTTTCCTCTCCGCTTCCCTCCGGCTGCAGGAGAAACAGCAGAACGCTGCCAGACTTTCCCCTGCTCTGTTCCACAGCAGGACCGGTCCGGTCCGGTCCGGTCCGGTCCCGGTCCCGGTCCGGTCCCGGTCCCGGTCCGGTCCCGGTCCCGGTCCGGTCCGGTCCCGGTCCCGGTCCGGTCCCGGTCCCGGTCCGGTCCCGGTCCCGGTCCGGTCCGGTCCCGGTCCCGGTCCGGTCCGGTCCCGGTCCCGGTCCGGTCCCGGTCCCGGTCCGGTCCCGGTCCCGGTCCGGTCCCGGTCCCGGTCCGGTCCCGGTCCCGGTCCGGTCCCGGTCCGGTCCCGGTCCCGGTCCGGTCGGATCTGCCTCAGTCACCTGTTTATTCAAATAACATTTTATTTACATTTATCTGCAAAACTGGCAGGTTGAATCTTTTCTTAAATGTTTTAATTTTCTGAATTGATTGAATTGTTTTAGTGAAACAAACTAAAGAAAGAAAAAGACAAAAACTGCAGCAGTTTCTCTGTCAAGCCAACCAAACCCTGTTCACATTTACCTTTCTCTATAATAATATGTCTAAAACACATGAAGTTTAACGAATTGGTATGACTATAATTAATAGCAAAATATTTAAACCAAATAAAATAAACCAGGGTTTAATTCAAGCAAGAAAAGTTTCATAACAGTGGATGTATTATTATTATTATTATTATTCATTTTTAAGATTCACAGAATATTAAAATGTTATCTTTAATGCCTTTGTGAAGCAGCGTTTATGAAGGTAAAATTTGGCAAAGGATGTAATATTATTGATCAACTATTGAACTTTTTTATTCCTAATTTAAATTCCATATTTGATCCGTTTCCAGAATAAAACATACAAACATTAACATCACACTCAAAAACCAAACGGCCTGTTGATTCCAACCGTCATTTATTTTATTCGTTTCGCTTCTGAATGACGTCACGGGATTTAAATGAACCGTAAAATTGAGACGCCTCAGCAGCCAATCAGGGAGCTCCTCTGTCTCACGGTCGTCAAGGGCAACGTTAAAGCGGCAGCTCAGGCTGAATGTTAATCAGAAAGATTAAATAAACGCAGATTTACGGTCTTATTATTTATTTATTGTACATTTTGACCCTCTGATATGTTTTTACTCATATTTGTCAGACGCGTCGCTTTTTACGTCCTTGCGTTGCGCATGCGCACCGAGTCCCATCCACAGAGCGGTTTACGGCAGCCGGATCTTGGAGCGGAAGCCGTCAGAGGGCTGCTGGCCCTTTAAGGATGATGCAGCGGGACCAGCCGATGTAGGACGAGCTGACCGTCGGTGCGCCTGCCGCCGCCGCTGCGCATCATGGCCTCCGCACCGCCGAGGACCACCCGACCACCCCGCGGCCCTGCCCTTCCCGCAGCGGAGACGGACGTCAAGCCGAAGCAGCGGCACCGGTAGAGCCGCGCCGCGCCGCTCCGCCCCCTCCGCCCCGGTCTCCTCCATGCCTCCGTCCAAAGCCAAGTTCAGCGATCCGATCAAGAGGCCTGCGAGCCCGGGCGACGGCGGCGGCGGCGGAACCATGAGCCGGGACTATTCCGTGAACCTGTCGGTGCAGCAGGTGCTGAGCCTCTGGGTCCACGGCGCCACCCTGAAGGACTTCACAGGTAGGACCGGAGGGGCCGCGAGCGGCACCGCGAGCGTCGCGCCGCCGCGAGCGGCACCGCGTCCATTTTAAAGCGGAAGATAAAGCAGGGACGGTGAGCCAGAGTGAAACCAGGGATAACATGAGGTATTATGGGATGCAAAACCTGATCCTCCCTTTGTCCAACCTGAGCTCCGGGTCACGTGAGACCATCAGAGTCGCATCATTTTTTATTTTATCGCTTTACATCAAACGACGCAGACCCCCATCTGCGTGAACCCGCCGCTGCAGAAGCGTCAGCGGCTTTATCTGCAGGATCCCGGCTCTCCATCCGCAGCGTGGAGTCACGGTTGGTGTGTCATGTAAACACAAGATTGCAGCAGCAGAGGCGGAAATGTGCTGCCACCATCTCCACCCTGAGTGGAGCAACCAAAGCCTGCCACGCTGACTCAGCAAGAAGCGCATCTGGAGTTTGCGGTCCCGCTGCTGCGCTGCGCTGAGAAGCAGCAGCAGCTGATTGAGATGCTTAAACAAATCAGCTTCCTGTTTATGAGATGTGCGGTGGAGCAGTTTCTCTGAGACTTCCGGAGCCACAACGGACCAAAGCATGAGGTCCAGTCAGGAAACATGGCGCTTTGGAGAGTTCAGAAATAAATGCTCCAAGAAACAGAAAATAAATAAGTCTATCGCACTTGTCAAACTCGAGGCCCGGGGGCCAAATCCGGCCCGGCGTGGCTTCTTGTGTGGCCCCTGAACTCCAGAGGGACTCATAATTACACTACTGCATTATTATGAGTTTATTGCAAATTTTCAACAAAAATGGTGGAAAGCATTGGATTAAATGTCTAACTCCTACCTGTAGGTGGCAGTATTCTCACTTTCACTCCATTTCTGCCCCAGATTTACTTGATGTCAACCGACAGTCTGATTGATGTGAAGCAACAAAAAGTCACATTTCATACTTTAAGCACAAATACTGAAAAATGTCTTTCAATATTTCCAAATCAGCCACAAAATCACAAAACCCTGGAGGGAAAGAAATGTGGAAAAACGTTTCATATTTAATGTCAAGACATTTTACCTGAATCCATAGATTTATTTACCACATTCATATTTTAACAGTTTGTTGATCAATACATAGTTGCCATGAGTGAACAGGCAGTGATCCGCGCCACTGATCCGCCATCTTGGTAGGCCATCGCAGCGCAGATGAACAAACAGGAAGTACCCTGACCCTTCTGACCAACGTACAAGGGAAATCTCTGCTGTTGGGATTTACTCATACCAGACAGAGAATATGGATTGTTTATTGTTGCCATAGCAACTGCCATGAGTTACAGATGCCTACCAAGATGGCTGCAAAGTTCCCCGAAGTGTGACATCACAGAAAACTACGTATTTATACAAATATTTATTTCTAGACTTTATTCCTCGTTGGTAAAAGTTAGTGTCTTTGTTCCCTCCTTTCCTTCCTTTTTCCCTGTGTTCCTTTATTCCTTTCCTTCTTTCTTTGACTTCCTTCCTTTCCTCCTTGTGGTTCAGTATGTTAGATGGTGATGTTTTGTTTCTGACCTGCTCTTCCTCTCTGCTCCTCCTCCAGAGATGTGGTACTGGGTCTTCCTGTGGTGTCTGTTCTCCTCGCTGTTCCTCCACGGCGCCGGCGGTCTGCTCATGTTGGTCATGCTGCAGCGCCACAGGTGGGGCCGCCTCATCACGGTGGTTCTGGTCAGCGTCGGCTTCCTGGCCTCCCTCTCTGGAGCCGTCATCACAAGTGAGTGACGCCCCTCCTGTGTGATTCAGTTCAGGGCCAGCAGGGGGAGACAGAGGGCGGGGAAGGAAACATCACAGAGGTCCAGTTTGATCAGACCCAGAGTGGGAATGTCTCTCTGCTCTCTGATTGGTCAGAAAACAGGAAGTCCTGTAGCAGGGGGAGACAGAAACATCTCTGGAGAACCTGGTATAATCCAGAATGTTCTGAAGACTCTACTGGGTCAGAACCATCGTGATGCTCTGAGCTGATGGTTCTCTGAGAAAACCCCTCAAAGTTAAACTGGGATTGTTGGAAAAACTGGAAACAGGATCAGAATTTTAACTGGGAGGGAAAAAATCCAACTTCCTGTGACCCGGTTAGAGTCTGAACGTCAATTCTGATGGAAAGGAAACCCGAGTCAGGTGAATCCACCAAAGATTTTTCAGAAAGCAGGAAAAATAAGGATCCAGGAATAGTACTGGAAAGTTGAGTGGAAGGAAAAAGTAGACTTTTTTTAAAAGCGCCATGTTTTAGCTTTTAAAGATCATCAGCGTCCTGACTGGTTATCGGAACATCCTGTGTGTGTGTGTGTGTGTGTGTGTGTGTGTGTGTGTGTGTGTGTCTGTGTGCTGCAGGCGCGGCGGTGGCCGGTGTGTACCGCGTGGCGGGGAAGGGCATGGCGCCGCTGGAGGCTCTGGTGTTCGGCGCGGGCCAGACCTCGCTCTCCATCATCATCTCCTTCTCCCGCATCCTGGCCACGCTGTGAGGTCGAGGGGCGGAGCCCGGCGCCGACCCGAGGGCGAGGAGGAGCGCTCACGCTGGCCGCAGCACAAGGCGCCCCCGCTGGCTCTGGAGTGTTACTGCAGCCATCCCTGGACCAGATGGAGACTCATCAGGGAGCTGTGGTTCTGAGGTTCTGGTACCAAAATCCAGCTGCTGCTGCTGATGATGATGATGATGACTCAAACCTCCAGATCAGAAGAAGAGGAAGAAAAAGCTTCAGCACTTTTATGTTAAGTGAGGAGGAGCAGAAACCAGCAAACACTGGACCAGACTGAAGGTTCATCAGCAGGAGTTCCTTCTTCTGGTCCCAGTTCTGGTCCCAGTTCTGGTCCCAGTTCTGGTCCCAGTTCTGGTTCCAGTTCTGGTCCCAGTTCTGGTTCCAGTTCTGGTCCCAGTTCTGGTCCCAGTTCTGGTCCCAGTTCTGGTTCCAGTTCATGGAGATGTGGGCGGAGATTCCTGGAGTTCAAGGACCACAGCGACCAATCAGAAACGCATCCTGATATGATGCAACATGACCCGAGTCATTGACGCGCCAGGATGTCGGCCATGTTGTGAGGGGCAAGTCTGGTGTGAAAGCTGAGATGAAACAAAACAAAAAATGATGAATAAAAACAGAAAATAAAAAAAATCTAGACTTAAAAACGTCTGAAGAACAGAAAACCAGCAGCTGCGTTTCATAAAGTCTGTTGTTTTCCTGAAAGTATTTAAATGCTAAATTTGTTTTAACAGTCTATAATTTATTAATAATATTTAATAGACAATAATTTTATAGTCTTTTTATTAGATGTTAAATTATGAATAGTTTAATTTATTATTAATAATTTTAAATGCAATTGATTAATAGTATATATAAATAATTACATTGACTTATTAAATTACTGTTGAATTAATTTCTCAGAAATTAATTATATTTTATGGATAAATTAATAAACTAGTTGTTCAACTTGTTAAATAGATAATAAAATATCAACAAATATTCAATAAATTGATGTAATTATTAATATAAATCTGTAATTATCCAAATAATCCAAACGGTTTTCGGGTTTTGCACGTCGACGCTACAAGTTTTTCAAAACTTTTTAATGTTTGTTTTTAATCTTCAAACTGTTTTATTTATTATTCATTTGAACTGCAGATGACTTATCACTGAATACAGAAGGAAAAATGTTATTAATTATTAATCTTTGCAGATTTTTACTGGTGTAATGTGAAACTGATGAGCTGCTGTACGCCCCTCACAATATGGCGGCGCGTCACATGACCAGAAGCATCTTCAACATTAAAGCCATTTAAGCAAACAGCGCCCCCTGGAGGAAGCAGGACCCGCAGCACGCCCAGCAGCCGCAGATCAAATCAAGTCTTTGCCAACTGAACTTGTTCAGTTTAAACGTAAAATCAGATTCCAGTTAGTGAAGGAGTTCCTCAGAGCTCAGCGCTCGGCCCACAACCGGTCAGCCCACAACCAGTTCTGATTCGTGACGTTATTGGACAGTATTAGGAAACAGAAGTTTGAAATCTGAATGATCTCCAAGCGAAAAAGTTTTCACACCCATTTGTCCCATTCTGAGCACAAACTTTGATCAGTTCACTGGTTTTATTTGATAAACCTCCACAAAACGAAAACTAGACGGAAAGTCTTAGTTTTTATAGTGTTTTAATGAATGTAAAAATCTAAAAAGTGCGGCATGTTTTCTCTGTTTGGGTCTTCTGTAGGTTTTGTTCCAGAATCATTCTGGGTTCTCCATCCAGCCTCCTCGTCCCACAGCATGATGCTGCCAGCGCCGTTTCTCACTACAGTCTATAATCACAATTAATAAACATTAATTAGTTTTTGTGAAGCAGATTCTCCTGCCTGACCTGGACTGCTGTTATTTAGGGGCATCAGAGTAAAGGGGGATGGACACAGGCTGATAAAATCCTGTGAAGTTTTATAGTTTCCAGCAGGAAGTTTAAGGAGCTGTTGCTGTGGAAATGTGCGAAAGAATCCCAGATTTTCCAGACATCCGATTGTTGGGGTCACCCAGGCTTCCTGAACACGGTTCTGTTTCGCCGGGCCGGGCCGGTTCTGGATCAGAGACGTCCCGTTCGGGTCTCTGAACCAGAACTTGGAAGCGGCTCTCCTTGGCTCCTGGACACGTTTCCTTCTGCGACTCGGTTTGTAAACCTTTACGTTCGGCCTGCCCCGTTCCGGGCCGCTCTTCAGGTTACACCAGGGGTCAAAGGTCACAATGCCAAAGCTTTATTCATCCCGTTTCATCTGGACTCTGCAGGCAGTTCTGAGTTTAATCTGAGGAGGTTCTGCTGGCTCTGCGTAACGGACCGGCAGTACCGGCTCTGAGCACCAGAGGACAGCGTTGCGCCATCATGCAGCAGCCAGTGCTGCAGCATTCTGACCAGAACTCTCTGAGGACGTTCTGAACGATGCTGCCGGTTCTGGCGACCTCTGCAGCATGACCATGACTGAGGCATGGCCGGGGGTCAAAGGTCACCTGCAGCAGGACATCTGTCAGACGGACAGACAACCAGAGATGAGCCAGCCGTGTTCATACTGTAAAATATTCCCTTTTTTAATTTTATACCAGCCAGACCTCTGATATTTATAACTACTGCCTATTTATGTACAAACTGATCTGTACTGTAAAAACTCTCCAGTCGTTGAAATAAAAACCTTTTGCAATATGAAAGCTGTTCATAATCCGTTCAGAGTTTGATTGTTCAACTTCTGCAGTTCCCAGAAATGATCATTTTCCATTAAATACATTTTTTCACAACAATCTGAAGACATTTTGTGAAATATGATAAACCGACTGAAACTCATTTTATTTATGTCATTAAGTACTTTGATTCTGTTTGGCTAGTCACACTGGGCTTTCAGAACTTTATTAAGGTTCTGATGAACTGAACCATCCAGTTAAAGTTTTTAAAAATAAAAATCTAAAAAGTGTTTTATTCATTCATCCCCAGTGACTCCAGTCTAATCCATCCCATAATATCTCCTCCAGTCTCTGCTAGCAGGTTTTCTGCTCCCCCACAGCATGATGCTGCCACCACCGTGTTTAAAGTGAGGATGGTGACTCAGCTGCTGCGTCCTGCCTGGTGAATCTGACCTTTAACCTTTCTCCTCGCCCCAGGGCAGATTAATCCTCCCAGGATGTGAATCTCTGCAGCTCCTCCAGTGCCGCCGCAGCCTGACTTGGTAGGTTTCAAGTTGAAACACGCTCTAATGAACCATTAATATTCACCAGACGTGAAACAGTTGTGGAAAACACAAATTCTCAAATTAGAATCAGATATTTGGAGTGTTATTTTGGTGGCTGTCTGACTCTCAGCCAATGCAACTCAACAGATGTGTTTCAAATGGTTAATATTTAACATTTCAACATAAATACTTGAAGCACATCATCCACAGAACACAATAGTGGGAAATAGCAGGTCCTAAACGCTACCACAGCTGTAGCATATAGAGGTTTAACATGGTGTGCGTTCAGACTTTATGAAGTTCCAGATGGAACCTTTGTATTCATGTGTTTCTGGTACACCTGTAATTCAGACGCACATCTGCTAACAACAGCAACGGTTGGATAAAAACGTCAAATGAATGAATTAATTTCTGCTTGTAAGAGATCTGATTGGACGCTAGGAAGGATTATTGCTCTGTTCAAGTTGTGCTAAAAGGAGTTAGCCTAGGTTACTATGCTAGGTTAAGATAGCATCTCAGTGCTAACATCAGCATCCACAGCCCACATTTCTGATAGTTGAAAAACCCAAAGAAAACATTAAAAACTATCTTTGTTGTCGAGGTCATAGGTCAATTTATTCCTTAATTTAGCAGTAAAATGGTTTCTGTAGTGAAAATGTTGCTTGTTTTATTGATCTATGATTTTAGATTTTAATTAATTCCAGACTCTAAAATTAACTTGATTAAAAGCTTTATTCCCACGTCACATTTCTAATAAAACTCTGCAGCTTCAGGACTTTAAGCTCCTGGTGAAAGGAGGCGGCAGTGTCATGCTGTGGGGTTGAAAAATGTAATGTGGAAATATTGAAGCAAGTCTGAAGACATGAAACAGGAAGTAGATGATGGTCTCTTAAAGGGACAGTAACCGTCTGTGGTTCGGAGCGCGGGAGCCGTTTTAAACATGGAGGACGTGATTCTGGACTCGAACGCGCCGTCTCACATCTGACGTGACCTTTGGTCTTGGGCCTGAATGGACCGCCCGGGGTTTCGCTCCCTCCCTCGGCCGGGGAAAGCAGGTCGCCGCTTATCAGCCTGTTTTTTGTTATTTTGTTCTTTAGCAGCGAACACAGCATGTGACAGCGGCGGCGGCTTTGGTCCAATCAGAGCCCAGGCTGAGACGCGCTGATAAGTGGCCAGCGGCAGGAAGTGTTTCATAAGAGGCCAGAATGTGGCGGAGGAATTTCTGCGTGTTTGATGGATGTTTGGTGAGCCGAGCCGCACAAACAAAGACGTTTTCCCTCCGATCCCAACATTAATCACAGAAACGCTGCAGCGGCATCGACTGGGAAATCTGATTACTCAGACCGGGAAAATGTGGGAATTCCTTCCCAGCTCTCTGACTGGAATGTTGTTTTTCAATAGTTCTCTCACACAGGAAGAATGTTTGCTCTGCAGATACTTTCACTGCCTTTCTACCAAATTACCAGCATCAGGAAATGTTTTTAAACTCATTTCCAGATAATATTTGCTCCATGTTTCTCTAAATCTAGGCTGAGATGCTGAGTCACATTTCCCTCCATAAAATCTGGGAATAAATCAGTTCCTCATCATACATGGACCACAAAGTGTTTAGTGAATATAATAAACCTAGTTTTTATTGATCCCAAAGGGAAAAGCCTGCAAGCTAAATATTACCTTCAAATTAAATATCTAACGTGCAACTAAATGCTAAGCTTACTTTGGTATTATAACTTCATGTTTAGTTTCAAGCTAAGTATTTAGCTTGCTAACTTCATGTTTAGTTTGAAGCTAAGTATTTAGCTTGCTAACTGCATGTTTAGTTTGAAGCTAAGTATTTAGCTTGCTAACTGCATGTTTAGTTTGAAGCTAAGTATTTAGCTTGCTAACTTTGTAAGTATAAATGGTTGCCCGTTTCCTCCCTGTGTTTGTTCTGATCTATTTGGTTCTGTCCATCCCGGTCCATCGTCTCGTCTGTCCAGAGGACATTGTCCCCGTAGTTTTGTCCTCCCTTCAGGTTCAGCTCTGCTAACCTTGGTCTGGCGACCATCTTGTTTCCAGAGAGAAAAGGTTTTCTCCTTGGTCCCTTCCAAGGTGGTTTAGTGAAAGTTTTTCCTGTTTTCTCATGAATCATTTCATGAACATCATGACAGAAGCTGGTTTCAGCTCCTGTTTTTATGAAAATACAGAAAGTTTGAGACGTTCTGGCGGTGATGTGAAGCCCTCCTGATGTCCTTCAGGCCGGCTCCGGGCCGCTGGCTGCTCCTGTTTCCTGGACAGGAAATACTCCAGAGTTGAGTGTGAGTGGAGACGAGGCGACGGCTGCACGCCTGCTCACAAATAACAGCCGACCCTCCAGAAGCCCCAACAATGGCTGGCGGGCGGCCGAGCCTTTGACCCAGCAGGTCGCTCCGCGGTGTCGGCCGACTCTTTGTGCTGCAGCTGTTCATAAAGTGCAGCACATAAAGATCAGACGGCGCACAAACAGTGAGGACTCGGTCCGATCAGCGCCGGCCGTCTGGACCGAACCGAGCCCAGACCTTTGGGATTCAACGGTTGGTTCAGAAATACTCTTTGTTCCTTTGTTGATGTTCCTGATTTGATCTAATGTTGATCTAAACCGTCTGTTTGATCCATCCGTCTGACCAGCATGACGCTGCCACCACCGTGTCTCGCAGTGGGGCACGTGTGATTACAAGAGGGGGGATATTTTATCAACTCGATTCAAAATGATCTTTCATCGAGATTTCTGCTTCATCTGTCGCTTCGCGTCGCAGAATGGAGACGTTGAAGACTCGTTTTCATGTTCATGGAGTTTTCAATGTTTATCTCTCCTCTTTTCCTCCATTTTACTTTTACGAAACGAATCGTAGTGAAAAATTATCCACAATTTTTTATCAATTTATTACATGGGCTAAACAAAATGCAGTGGAAGAAAAATATCTGCATGGAAGACGAACACAAACGTCTTTGTTGCTCTGCTGCCGTAGTGAAGCTTTCAGACATTTGGAGGAAGCGAGTTGACTGAAAACAGCTGAAAAAATCTTCCTTGAAATCCACAAAGTTAGCATTTATTTGCTTAATTATATGTTACTAATCTACAGAATCCAGCTGTATCGTGTTTCTCCATGTGTTTTTCTTAAATCCTCGTTCACAGTAAGTTCAGAACTCCGTTACTTTTCATACTTTGCATACAAAAACATTTTTGGCCTTCTTGGTGTTCCATACTGGAGGAGCAGAAACAGCTAAGTGGAGCAAGTTTCAGCAAGCAAGTCTAAAATTCAAAAAAACATAAGTTATTATTATTTTTATGAATATTTGCTCGCATCAGTTTCACAGCAGAGTGAAACGCATTTGTTTTATTTTTTGCATCTTTGACATTTTAGGTCAATTGTGAGTGAAAATCCTCGCTGTGACGTTCCCAGGCCGTCTGCAGCTCCTCCATCCTCTCTCCAGGTCCAGATGACGGGTTGGTCAGAACTCTGGCAGATGTTGGTAAAACCTTCACATCTGGATTTGACCTCCAGAATCTGCTGCTGTGTCTCGTTCTGTCGCATCAAAGACGTTAAAGTTTGGGCTGGAAGGAGAGGACTGACTGACCGTCCTCTGGATAATCCTGATCCTGTCTGATCCCATCTGATGATGACGATGATGATGATGATGATGATGATGATGATGATGATGATGATGAGAGCAGCCTCTCTTCGCCTCCATTGTTCTGGCAGTAACGACCCGTCTCAGTTCGCTGCGGTTTGTTTCTCCTGAACTTTTGTCCCGACCCGAGGCGGTCGCGTGCGAAAACAAAGATATGTAAACAACGATCAGCAGACAGGAAGGCCTTTAACCTTTCACCTCTGAAGACCAGGAAACCCTTAAAACACTGAGAATAGCAACAAAAACCTCGGCGTGTTTTCCTTCCTCTGAGCTTTAATCCCCGTTTGTCTCTCAGTTTTTCTCTCTCTGAAGATTTGAAACTTTTTACTGATCATCTGAAAAGTATTTATTTTTTCACCTCAGTGAATCTGAATATTGAAATGTTCTGAAACGTACTGGTGGAAAGTTAAGTGGAAGGAAAAAGTGGACAGAAACTTGTAGAGGTGATGTTTCTTCAGTGAGTGAAATCTGGAAAACAAGATTTTCTGGTTCTGGGTTGATTTTTATCTGCTGCAGTCATTTCTTCTTCTTTTTGTTCTCTGTTCATTTTAAATCAGTAAATCCCCCCCTGTAGGGGGCGCTATAACCCCGACCTGAAACTTTTTATTCTCTTTACGCATCACTTCATCAGATTTCTAAACCGTTTTACATAAAGAAACAGCACAACTGTTTGCATGACATATTTTTACATTGATATTTTGGTCTAATGTTTGTAAACATTTAATTATTGTTTTAATCCACATATGGATGCATTTTAATAATTACTGACGAATTAAAGGGTCTAAAACTATTTAAACAAGTTTCACCAAACAAAATAAATTTTTGATGATAAACAGCA